ATTTATACTCCTGTCAGCCAGAAAGCCCTTCCCCTCAGCCAAGACTCAAGAAATGCTTGAAATACAGGAAACTTTCCCTTTTCTACACTAGGACACTGGGAGGGAAAGGACAACTTTGGAATTTTTTTTTAATTATTATTTTTATTTTTTATTTCAAGAAAATGGGTTCTGTGGTTCCTGCCATGGGATCATTCAGCTGCTATTAAAAACTAATATCTTGAACATACAGAATGCTGACTTTTCCTACATTTCAACAGTTAAGCAGTATTCTATACTTAAAGACTACTACTATTTTTGTAAAAGGTAATCTGTTATATTTGCCTACCTGATTTCTATTCTCAGATACCAAGACACAACTTCAGCAGTCGGTACAAGTCATGTTTCAGCCTGTTTTAAATGTATGATACTGAACAGCATCTATACCTGCTATTTTTGGAAAAAAAAATATTTTGGGTTACTCTAACTTTGCATAAAATTGGCTGAAAGATTCATTAATCTTTTTAATTAAAGCCACTTCCACGTTAACTGCATTTTCTTGTAGTAAAACATTATACTCTGCAATGTAAATTCAACTTCAATGTTACCACAGGGGGCTTTTTTAAATATTTTTCAAGCATGAATTACAAATATGATGTTTTGGGGTCCTATTTATATCACTTGTCAGATTCCTTAAGCAAAATTTCTAGTGGGAATGACACATGCTGTATTTGGCACAGTACTTAGTTACCACGTGGGATAGAACTTTTCTAATGAACAGGAGACATTATGATTTTTTTAAAAAACACATTTTTCTAACGAGTCTGTCAAGAGTATTTTTTGTTGCTTTTGACTTTTAAATTTAAAACACTGCATTTTTTTCAACTTTTTAAGCATGCTGATGAGGTGATACTTGATAGCAGAAGCCTGTCAGCAGTTCATTTCAGAACCCATCCTGTCCAGTCAACCAGAGTTTGTTTGAATGCAGCCAAACCACAATGTATATTTGTTGATGCTAAAGATATATCAGGTAAAACACGTTGTTATCTTTGTCTAGCTGCTCATGATGTGTGGGTTTCAGTTACAACTAAGGAAGAATGGTGTATTAACTGAAATATGTCTAATGTGCTTTAGAAATGAGGTTTTAAAAGCACATAATTTATTGATTGTAGGGATGGAAATAAGTATATATATGAATTATAACATGGGTTGATCTCTTCAAAGGGGAATAAAATGCACTACCAGTAGAGGGAACTGAACTTTTAAGTTAGTTTGGGAATTCTCAGTTAAGAACTGTATGATCTGCTCATGGTGTGTAGGTGAACCAGTCTGCTTAAGAGATGATGCCATTCTCCTCTCAGCAGTGAGAATTTTGGGAATAAGTAGCTTTTTTTTTCCAATGAGTGTTGTGTTCTTTTAACTTAGGTTACAATTAATCATCAAATCTGCACTATTTTTACACTTCCCATGAGAAGAAAGTCAAGGCTATTGAAAATGCTAAAAGAATGGGATGTGAACAGCTGTTCCATTTTTGCAGTGTAAGGCACACAGTGAACTAGCTCATTTTCTGTCTGTTCTGTGGAGCTTCAACTTAATCTTGTTCTGCCAAATCTGACTGCCACAGTGAGTAAACTGCTACTGAATGTTGTGTGTTAGAATAGTGGGCAATGGACTACTTTTCTAGAATTGTGGTAAGAACTTGGTGAGCCAAATCCACATGTTCATTTGATTTTATTTTTTGTGCAGCTGTTGCTGAAAGGTTCGTTCTAAGACACTTGCTTCCCATTCTGGGCTGGCTGCAGAGATGAGGCTACTTAGGGATGTAAACAGGAAGCCAGGAAACTTGCTTTAACAGCCAGGTTTGAAATACATCAGACCCTTTTTTTCTTCATTTCAAGGGACTGTTGCACTCGTGTAAAATGGCTGGTACCTTTGCTTTCCAGCTGGCATCCCCAGTTCACAGCTTTCGGGTACTTCTGTTGCCAGAGGAGCTCCCACTACATCTGGCCAGGTTGCCTGGGAGAGCAGAGTAGGTTGTTGCCCATTGTCTTTTTTACTCAGTACTGCTGCCTGTGGTTGGGACCACTGCTTTAGACACTCCCGAAGACTTCTTACCCCTGCAAGTTTTGAGGTGTGATGTGATTTACTATTTACAGAGACAGGTTCTTTTGACCACTATTCACAGGATAGATACTCCAGTGTTGTTTAACTGATTATGTTTTTTTCCCCCTGCTCTTGCCCAGGCTATGGCTGCAGCCTCCCTGGTCATGAAACATCAAAAATGTAAAATCCAGTTTGATCCAGCTTTTGGGAGAAGTCAGGACTCAGTTAGGTGATTGGAGGGGCAGGTATGCTGCTGTTCTCTTTGCACCACACAGCTCACCTTAGCACTGTTTAAAGACTGTCTCTGTAGTGTCTCCTGACCACATCATCTGTAGCCACCTCCTTGTCAGCTTACTTAGATGGTAAATTTATTGAATGCATAGGCAGGGCCACCCTCATGTCATAAAAGCTGTTTTGAGGAGAGAGGAGATGAGCTTTGTAGAATATAGACTCTAGATGAGTTGATAATACCATTTGTTTCCACAGCAGCCTTAGCAGTACATCTGTATGTTCTATCAAACATTTTGAGAATTTTTTAACTGCTATAGATAAATATTGTAAATTTAATATATTACATGCAAAACTAGACAAATCTACATTTGATTTTCCATAGCTGACAGATGAGGATAAATATACCAAGTATTTTGAGTGCCTTTCTACCTTCATAACTGAGAGCTTTAATTAAAGCACCTCATAACCTACTCAGATGTTTATCTGAAAATTTTAAAGGGTTGATTCCTTTGCAGAATTTTGTTTTAAGATCATGTCAGCTACTTTCCCCTCAAAAAGGTGCTAAGCCTAATATTGCATTTTAACCTTGGACTTTCACCCCATGATTAATGTGAATATTTATTTCAATGTGTCCCTCTTACTGGGTTTTTACTTTATCCAGTCTTTAGTTATTTTAGAGAGATGTCACATCATGGTTTTATGCTGTTGCTTTTCAGTATGAATGTTTAATTATGAACAGTGACTTTTGTAGATTTCAAATATACAGAACACAGTTGACTTTCAGAGGATTTAATTTCTCGATGTAAAGAGTTTTGTAATGGTGCTTTGTACAGTATGTATTCTATTTTTTTTTTTGCACATAGTTTCAGTTTCCCTAAACTGATTTATTTGTACCAAATCTTTGTGTTGTACTAAAGTCCAGAGCACACAACCCGTTTTTTAATTCTTGTTCTACAACACTACATCTGTATTGAACTTCTGGTGCGTTTAAGCTGGCTGCATTGATGGAAGTAAAAGCTCTGCTTCTATATCCCAAATATGCATCATACAGCTTAATGTAGCATGCTCCAATGGCTTCAGATTTTAAACAGCACCATCTAGTTAACAGGTGCCATTTGTTGTACTTTACACTATCTAGTAGGTTTCTGGCTCTGCCACATCCTCAGAGCTTTGTCTGTAGTTGTAATTAGTTTATACAAGTGTAATTACTCCTCCACAAACTGACAGTTCTTAGTTTATAATTTCCATTGTATTTATTACAGAGTGTTTTAGCATTGGTATCATTGTATTTTCACCCAACTGTTACATGAGCTTTAACAAAAAAAAAAATCTGTATAAAATGGTTTTTAAGTACTTAATGTATGTACCCATGCAGAAGTTGAGCAATAAATTGTATGCTGTTTGCACTGTCACAGCATCAATGGTTTAAAAAGTTTTAAGTTTTTCTTAATTAAATATTTACCTTAAAATGTAGCTTTTTTTTTATAAGTCACTCCATTTGAGGAGAAAAAACTTAAAACTTGGTGTCTTTCTGTTATCTACAAGCAGGATTGTGCTCAATGTTCTAGTGAAACAAAAAAAGTCTCACTTTTGTCTTTCATATGAGGGTGCACGTGTGTCTTGGCAAGGACTGTATCTTGGCACAGGTGGATGGTGTCTTCTCCCAGAATTAAACAAAGCTAAACCATCTTACTTAAGCGATGAAATAAGGTAAAGAATTTTGGTAGATACTTGTTAGACTTGATCAACTTCCCTGGTAAACGTCCCTCAGATAAAGTCTTTCAATTAGGGTGGCTTACAGCAGGCCCTGGCAATGGTTGCTAAGAAAGTTAGTGTGTGTTTCTATCTTTAGATGTGTGGGGTCTGGGGTTTATTTTTTCCAGGGAGGTATATCATGCTCTAACTGCCATCTCTTGTTTAATCTGTAAAGAAAGCATCTCTAGCTGCTGGAGGAACTTTTTTTTTCTTCCCAGTACATGAGTTGTAATTCACTGTGTTGGCACTTGAAGTACCTACAGAACATACACCTATTAGCATACCCCTATTGCAAATAATTAGGAATCCTGTCCATGGGCCCTTCCTAGGTTTCAGTTCTTGCAGAAGTTTTTATTTTACTGCTTTAGAAGACTTTGTTTTCTCTTTCAAACAACTCTTTTCAGTACGTTTGTAGCACAGAAACTAGTACTTTACCTGTTTTGCCATTAACAAGCAAGCAGCTCCAAAACTGCAAGCATCATATTGTGTGGAGTAAGTAGACCTCCCTTGCTTCATATATTAAAATTACTGATTTTTATGTCAGGTTTATTGCATGTCCTCTCTAAAAGAACATCAGTAGCTTCAGTGAAAGATCTGCTTGTTTTTCCAGTAACTTCTGGGTACTGGTGTTTGTGTGGCTTTTCCACTTCAGCAGCAGAACCAGAGGAGGCTCAGTGGAACAGCTGAAGGCAGAGACAACTTCACCAAAACACAGTGACTTCATCCTACTTCCTTTGTAGCATTATCTCAGCCTTTGCAACAAGGTAGAAAAGAGTTCTAAAACTTTATTGATCCCAGATACCAGCAGCTACATCTTTGACATGTCAAAGATACTTTAGGGAGAAACAGCCACGCAGCATTTTCCTGCTACAGCAGTTCTCCAAGACTCCCAGCACCTCAGCCAGAGGGAACTTCAGGGATATTTATTGTGAATCTTACAAGAAACAGCTTCTGTGATACTGAAAGGCAGCCATCTGAAGTCTGGGTTTCAGTCTGCTTCTAGTTCTAGAAAAAGGAGTCATCATCCCTTTGCATTGTTGCTGCCTGCTGGTGCTCTATTTGCTTTTCCATCCTTGATCTCTCTGTTTTCTAAAGAAAATACAGACATTAGGCACAGCACATAAAAATATGATGATTACACAAAATTTAAAATACTTACTTGTCCTTTTACCTTCTTTCTGGTTTTAACTTCTCAGAGTTTTTACATGAAGTCACTGCCAGCCTGGAAAACTAAACATAACGTGTTTGGGTTGAGACAATTAAAAAAAGGACAGACATCTGGTGTAAAAGATATTAACTGTCTTTGACACAGATCAAGCTGTACCTTATCTTTGTGATAGTTCTCCAGAGACTCTAGCATCTTTTCAAGCTGTCTCCTTTGCTCAGCATGCTTCTCTTGAGCATATGCTCTCAGGTCCTTCAGTACTTCCTTCTGAATTTCTAAGCCATCTTCAAATAAGTTTTTAAATATCTGCCAGCAATTAAAAAAAAAGAGTAAACCTAAACTTTCCCAGAAAGTTCCAAGTATACATATTTCAGCTGTTTTATCTCCTGATGGAAGGGTGATCATGTGAAGACATGTCATTACCCAGGAACAGGTACACAGAGATGTATCTAGTGGTACAAAGCCTGCTGAGCTGTATTTGTATTATGCATTTAGCTGAAATTCAAACAGAGAAATCTTTCATGTCAGTTTAAGTCATATGACTAAGCAAACGTACATTGTTTTTTAAAATCACTTCACACAAACCAACAATGCAAGCAAGCCAGGGTCTTTGAACACACACTGTGATTTATTGTCCACCCTCCATTCTGTCATTGAACTTCAGGACCTTCATGCAGATTTCCAATAGCAGGAAATCCAGCCTGGTCTCAGGCTTTCCATTTATACAGAACACTTAACCAGCCACAGTGCTCTGCAGCTTGAGGCAAACAGTTCTCAAATCCCTAATAGTGGATTACACACTAAACTTCCAGTCATTTATTTTAAAAGGTACAGGAGTAGATACACAATTGTCAGTGCAATAACAACTTGCTTTCCTTAGCTCTGATATCCAGCCCTAATGAGAGATCGTATCTGTCAAAAAATCCACTTGGTTTAATAAACATAACTGAATAACAAAGCTGTTTTTTTGATCAGCTTCCTTAACTGAATAGATTGTTTTCTTTGGACAGTAACTATAGGAACAACTTCCTAATCCTACTGTTCTTGAAAACTTGTTTCCCCAATTGCTCATGTTACCAGCCCTGTTCTTCCATACTGATACTTCACCCTTTCTCTCCTCCTCTTAATCCCATAAAGCATCCTTTCCTGTTTTACAGTGGTTTGCCCTGAACTGTTATCAGTGTTTCCAAAGAAGGAACCTTTTCATCTGGGGTCTTCACTGACCAAGCATTTAGTCCTGGCTCCTATGCTCTACTCACTTCACTTGCTCTCTATCTACTTGTACCAGTATTTGAACTGGTACAACAGTTCAACAGAATTTGACCCAGATTATGGGTCCTCAGCACTGGGGTCCAAACAAAAAAGAATAATTTCACACTTGCAGAGCAAGGCATGGAATCACAGAATGGTTTGGGTTGGAAGGGACCTTAAAGATCTAGGTCGAACCTCCCTGCATGGGCAGGGACACCTTGCACTAGACCAGGTTGCTCCAAGCCCCATCAAACCTGGTCTGAACACTTCCAGGGATGGGGCAGCCACAGCTTCCCTGGGCAACCTGGACCAGTGTCTCACATCTTGTACTTACCCTTTCCTCCCATGTCCTGGACCACATCCTCTCAGCACGAAGCTGCACCTGGTAATCTTCATAACACTTCCTGGCCCGAGCAACTTGCTGGCGTCTCTCTCTCCATTTATTCTGAGCCCACTTCTGCTGCCAGATCTGTTGCTTATGTTCTTGCTAAATGGAGAACAGTAGCTGTCAGACCACCAAGCTTCCAACAGATACTGCTGTAGGCAAAAGCTTTGTTCATCCTTGCTTTTCCATGCCTCAATTTTACATTGTGTTTACGGTTTAAAGCTTTAGTCACCATTTAGCAAAGTGGTGCCATGAAAAGCACGATGCAGTTAAGGAGTCAGCACTACAGTGGCACCTGGTATCTTTACCAGTGACACCAGGAACCTGAAGTTTCTCTTCCTTGCACATTATTAGAATTTGTTTGCACTTTTAAAGCAACAGTGCTGTATAATAATAATAATAATCAATTCCCATTACCTCAGTAGCCACACAGCAAACCAATTATATGGTATTTGTGATCATAGCTACTCAAGAGGCATAAAATTGTCATCAGATAAGAAACCACTTTAATGGGCCAGGAGCTATGCATTCAAGCTAGCTTATGAACATTGTTTATAATGTAAAAAAAAACCTTCAAAGAACGTACCAGTCTCTTATTATGGTCTTCGTATTTTTTAATAAGTGCAAGAAAAAGTTCATGCTTCTTCAGGGCTTGTTCAACCTGGAGGTTTAAAAAAAAGCTGATGATTTCCACTACTTGTGCAGGACAGGCAGTTGTGTGTAGGAGTTTTAAACATTGCCTCTCTGCTATGTTTGGTTTTATGTTAAGAGTTACCACGAATAAGTTAACCAACTTTTGTATCTCGTAACTAACTTTTAACTAAAAGAACTGTTCCCAACTAGCACTTGAAACCACAAAATGCTTTTTGAAAAGCAATAGCAATCCTAGGCAGTACTAGGTAAGTATAAAGAAGGAACATTATATTCAAGTGTCTGATAAAAAGTTGAGCCCATGTGCCTAAATATGTACATGCCTATGTAACCATGCTAATCATCCTTTCATGTTGCGCTTTGCATGTGCCCTGTCTGTGCTGCATACAAAGAGTCAGGATTATTTTATTATGCAATACAAACTGATGACTGCTCTCTGCTCTGTCAGAGGCACCATCCCTGCTGACATTCAGAAGGTAAGAATGAGAATGCTCACTTCATTTTGGAGTTTTGCTCTAGGTCTGTCAAAAGCTGCCTTAAGTTGTTTAGTATGTGCCAACTGCTGCTGCCTCATTTTTTTCATAGCAGGTTGGGAAACATGCAGGTCAGGAAACTCTTCCAGTAGCTGAGATAAGAGGTCATCATCTCCTACTGTCACTACAAGGTAAAGACAGAAAATACATTTAATGGCAAATTCTTCTAGACAGTGTCAGCCTGAGTTATGAAATATTTTAGATGGAACACTGCATCCACCTCCCCTGGTGCTGTCGTGCTGTCAAGCTGAGCCCAGCAGGGCAGAACCTCACTCTGTCAGGACAGCAGTGGAGAAAGGAATCCCAAGGTCTTGTGTTCGGGATTTTTTCTGCTGAAGAATTGCTGTTATATTTCAGGAGTTATTTTCCTCCCACTACCACATCCCATTAAGACAGGTGTCCATTTCTTTCTTCAAACAGTTCTGACCATCACTAATCAGCAGTTTCTTTGTCTGTCTCTCACTGGCTGCAGCAACTTAAAATAATGCTAATAGAGCAGCAGTGACAGATCTGGGCCAAGTAAACAGGAGGAAAATTAACTGGTTTGCAACCAGGTCATTACATTTTTAATCTTTCTGGCAGGAAAAGATAATGGGGAGATAAAACAAGTGGGTATAAACCAAGTATATGCCCTTTAAACACAGAAAAAGACAAGGTGGTGTAGGGAATTATACCAAGATCTTATACATAAAACATGTTCCAAAGCAGAACCTGTTCTTTGCAGGTTGGCTGTTCTTGGAGCATCACTTGCTCAGCAAAACCAGTGGCAATGTTAACATCACCATGGCAGGGCCTTGAGAAGGTGACAGCAACTGAGATTCTGCTCTGTTCCCTGTAGGTGGCTCAACACCAGCTCACTCAGCCTAAAGGCCCAATTTTAAACCTGGTATATGCTCAGGAAAAAACAACAAACAAACAAAAGAGGACATTAAAATAAGAGTAAATAAAATAAAGGCAGGTGAGCTCAGACTTTAGTGGAGTAAGTACCAGAGAAGCAATAATGGAAACAAGCCTTGAAAATAATCCAAGGAATCTTAAGGAGGTAGCAAAGGGTCACAGTTTTGGTTGTGCATTGGTGGTTCACATTTTCTTAAACCATTATCTTCTCTAACACAAACCCAGACGTATAGAGGTCATAAAAAGGGGAAACTGATACATCTGACTGGTATAGGTTGGACCAATGCCTTTATTCCTGGAGTTCAACACATGCTTTCAAAAGATGCCAGTTTTCCACCAAGTACAGTTTTGCAGTTCTTACTTGGAGCAGCTTCCTTTGGCTTCCCAGTCCCTGGTTTTGGAATCCACTGGCTGTATTCAGGATTCTGAGGTGTGGCTCTTCTAGAATAAACTTCCACTGGCTGAGGCGTTTTTGGAGGTTCTTCAAATATGTTTTCTTTGTATTCTTTTTTCTTAGGAGAAGATGTAAAACAGATGGAGAGCAGGTATGAGAAGCAAAAGCCTGACAGATAACACAGTCTGGGTATCAAAACTTAAATGTCTTTGAAACTTTAGAATAACAATTTGGAGGTACTGAACTGGATTATCCAGAAAGTCAGAATTTACTAAACACAGGCCAGGGTTCAAATAAAGGTCTCACTATTGCATAACCTGAGCTCTTCTGCAGCACTGAACACCACTGCAGCAGCTTCTGAAGGACAGTGCAGCCTACATTGGTATGACAGAGCTTTTCAGCTTAAGTTCTTTGCTGTTTTAGTAGTATCTAAGAAAGTAGCAAAAGCCCCTTTGTCATATTTACAACGTTAGAGAATCATCCTTGCACAAACCCACGCTTCAGAGTAGTTAAAAAAGACCAGGACTACATTAAGCAGGTTTCCTGCAGTGTACTGGGGCTCCAGCCTTGCTAACCCAGCTCTGGGGATGTGTGTGTGAAGAATGCCCCTCTGTGGAGAAATGTAGGCCAGTCTGCAGAAGCTACTTGTTATCTCACTTTGCTTGAATTCTTTAAATGAGCATCTTGAAGTTACCACTTGATGTGAAAAGCACAGTGGTTAAGTTGCCCATAACAACAGGTGTTAATACAAAGAAGTTTTGGAACTTCTACACTTGCCTCTTGGTTCTACATATCTCAGGAAAACCTGCCCTGTTTACTCCTATAGTAGCCTACAGCATTGTATCTATGACACTGGAAGTCAAGGAGTTCTTGTACCCAGAGATACTCAGTGTCTGGACAGATCATCTAGACAAATTTTAAAAATCAACCAAAACACAACAAACAGTCACCATAGTGTGTCACATACCATTTTCCTGATGACTTCTCTGAGCTTGGAAATTTTAAGCCTCTGCCTGGCTTCACAAATTCTGAGTTCATCTTCATAAGCTTTAGCAACCATCTAGAAAATAAAAACAAGGAGATTTTCCAGATAAAATAATCGCTCCTCATTCACTTGTTTGGTCTGTGGATTTTCCACTTTAAAATCTTTTTGCAAAATGTGGAGTGTAAGGCTTCTCCTCAGCAGGCTACAGACACAACAGTACAAAATCACTAAACCAGGCCAGATGCCCCTAATAAGTAAGAGCCTTCAGTGTTAATGCTTTTAGTGTTAACTGTTGGTAAGAATAACCAATAGGTCTAACCTAGAAATTACCTTTGCTTGCTTTGTTCTTTTATCCCTGTCTCTTTGCAGCTGGCTGCATAATTTCCTTGTTTGGCATGTTCTATTGCTGCAAGGTTTATATTCCACTTCAGAAAACCGTTGGTGCTGAGATGAGGATGGAGAAAGGAATCGTGGCCTTCTTGGGTACCTTAGATGTGGTGAGTCTGTAAGGAAAGATTCACCAAAACAAAAAAACCAAACCTCCAGGCATGCAAAAAGAAAAAAAGCTGAATCCTAGCTGAGCAGAAATAGCCCAGATAATGGAGTGTGCACACTTTGGGGCACTAAAATACAAACATGCTGAAAAATATGCATTTATTTCAAAATACAGCTGAAGTGTTTCCACTCCTGACCAAGGTTCTCCCCTACACTTACCTTGCTTAGTACCCTGCACCCCTTAGTCAAAAGCAGGTGGATACCCACTTACCCACTGCCTTTTCCTTTACCAATGGCCCTTCTAGTTTCAGAAAACTGTCCAGATCATGTTGCAACAGCCTCTGAATGTTTAGATTCTTTCACTCTTGTGCTTTTCTGCTGGTAACCTTTCAGGCAACTGATCTGCTTTAACAACTCTACATTTTATCTTCAGCAAGATTAACTACAGGTATATTTGCTTATTGTGGTTTGTTTTATTGGGAGGATGTCAGGGCATTTGTAAAATAAGAGTTTAAAACAAAGTATTTGTCTGAAAGAAAAACTTTTTAAAAAATGAAACAGCAAAAAATGCCTAGAAGTGCTACTACAGAATAGTCTATTTTTTTTCACCCAAACTCACCTTCTGATCTCTTGGAAAATGAATGAGCAGTATCCCCGAGTCTGATTAATTCACTGGTGTATTCTGGTCTCTCTGCATCAGAAGATGCAACAGAAAATTCTGACTGGGACCTGAGAGGAAGACAAAGCCGTAAAATACTTACTCTGAAAGTCTTTGCGCCTTCAGGCCACAAGATGGAGCTGCAGAAGGGCAGGTCTGCTCCAGGCACCCGGTGCTGCCCCGCAGGAGCCAGGCAGGTAAACCTACTGCAGTGTAACCAAACACCTAAAAACTGAGACAAAGTTCTCAGCTTGTTTCATTCCACTTGTAAAGTAAACTTTAGAGACTAGACAAAATCCCATCAGCACTCCTCAAGAGTAAAAAGGTTCTGGATCTAATTTTAGCCCTCTTGCTGCGCCTGACTGGAGCAGAAAGCCACCTCACGTTCCATTTGATGTGTGCAATTGGTAGTTTTCTTATTTGGATACTATTAAAAACCTCCTATTTTCTCTACAGATACACAAAAAGATAGTCAACCACTATGTTAATGCAAAGATTCAGAACTGTTCTTACCCTTCAGCTGATGAGAATCCTAAAGTGTGGGGAAGTTCACCAGCATTGCTTTCCAGCTGCACTTCAGATGCAAGCTGAGTTTCATTATTGGATAGCAGATTTGCTGTTAATAATGAAGAGGCAGTTATTTTCAGGAAAACTGCTTCTACCTCTTAACTAACAGTTATTCTTGCCAATTTCATCAAAACAGTTTAAGTGTAACAAAACATTCAAATGATGAGAAGTAAAATGATGACAAGTAATTCCCCCCCTTGTGGGGAGAGGCAACTTTGATGGCAAGTTGTGAAAAGTGATACAACTGTCATACCCTGTATTTACAATTACAAAAAAACCCTTTCTTCTTCCTCAAAATAATTAAATCCTCTACTAATAACTAGAAAATGAGCTACCAGCATCTACTGGGCAGGAGCACTGGCAGCCTAAGAGAAGGGAAAAGCAGAAGTACAAGCACTGAAAATGGCTTCTGCCTTTTAACAGTGACACACAGGACAGGAGACAATTTTCTTGACTACCAAGTGCTCTCCCCTTTAGCCCCAGGGTGCACCAGCCAATGATCACCATTCTTACCAGCTTTAAAACAAGAGGAGCAGTCTGCAGAAAGATGATGGCTATGAAGGGCTAAGTAGCTTCTCTTCCCTGTTTAACATTTCCCTCAAAATAGCCCCTGCTATGGATCTGCTCCCAGGATCCACTTCACAAGAAAGCTTAAGTCCTCCTCTTGTTTGTCTCTTAATAAGGAAAAGCAATGTCTGCTCACTGTTCCAACTGGAGTCAACAGTTCCCTCCCTGAATCCTAACTGTAAATCACTTGACTTGAGCAGCAACACCCTGACAGGGCTGGGTTGTCTGGAGCAGCTTCTGCCCCAGGAATGCAGCAGAAAGGTTCTGTTCTCCCATTCTTGCCTTTTAGCAAGTTTTGGGGAAAACAGATTATTTCTACCTTTGCTGTTTATGAAAATAATGAATGTAAATTTACAGTATGGCCACTGAAATGTCCTCCTCCCATGGTCCATTTCAGTCCTGGTCCTCCTCTGCATTGTCAAGGTTACAAATGAGGCAAAACCACCAAATAAGTCTTTGCTGCCATGGAAGCACTTTGGGTGTCCAAACCAAGGTTTCACAAAGCTTAGATCTTCCAATGGATATAATTTCCTAGAGGTGCTAGTGAGGAGAACAGCAAAGAAACCTTTTTTTTTTACCTATTATGGGAGCTGCATTCCATCCCTGAACACCAAGAAAAATGGTCATGAGAACCTAACAAAGCTACCTTGATAGCAGACAAACAGAAAAAATAAGCTGTCCATAATAAGAGTAGTAACAGAACAAAATACCTTAAACTAGGACATCTGTCTACTCACCTCCATTCTGCAGAGAAGATTCATCAGTTTCTCCTCTAAGATAATCCAACAGGCCATCAAATATTTCAAGGAGGTTTCTGATAGATTTCTTTTCTCCTCTCACTATGTTCTCACCTTGAGGGAAGGTACTCTCACGTGTTAATAATTAGTACTTGACAGAAGAAAAAAATTCTCAAAAGAAGTTTTCTGAAGAGTGAAAACTTGTGACAGAAACAACATGGTTCAGGTCTTCACCAATTTTTTAAAAACCAGTTAGCAAGTTTAAAATTCAAGGCTTATGTTTTCAAACCCAGTCTTAAAGCTTTAATAGTAGAGCAATACTGAGCCAGTACCAGACTTAAGTAACACTTCAGCAGACAAGTGAAGTATCATTGATTGTTAACTGAATGTTTCTTACAGGTCTGTGTCACACAAGACTGCTCTTGTTCATTTTCTGCTTGCTGTTTACATTTATAACCTGATGTCCAAGGCAAGGATTCACTGTTTTGATGACATTCAATACACAAGAAAGACATTTCATGTAAGTATGAAAGTATGCTTGATATGGTTCTTATAAAATGTTCAAATTAAACCACAGATATTGAGCTGATGTTTGTTTCCATTAACATGAGTACTTACCAGTGATATGTGACAAGCTCATCTGCAAATAGTCCAATGCCAGGGAATCTATTATTGCCTGTACATTATGTGCATCATCCTCTTGGCTTCTAGGAGTAGCTATGTAATCTATTTAAAATACATAATAGAGTTTAGGCTATCTAAATGGAGAGTTTATAGAAAATGTTTTGACTAAACTACTTTAACTTTCACTTACAAGTTAGTATTTGTACTTAGTGAAAAGCCCTGATGTCATATGGTCATACGAAATCTTTTTAAAATGCTGAGTACAAACTTAGAACACCCCCTGGAAGATGTGAGGATTATATCAGTTGAGGTACTAAACTCAAGAGCAGACACCACTAAAATATTTCTCCTCCTTCACTCCCAGCACAAACCTCTAGTTCAGATCTCAAACTGGAATTGCAGCTTGTGTTAAGGTCTCTTCTTCCCCTCTCAGTGACTGCTTGGAATGCAATGTATTCTGCTTAATTAGAAGGAACATTATGTTTAGTTCTGGGCTTACATTTAGCAGGACTCTTGCCACCAGTAGCTGTCAGTTACTTCTTGCAGTTATCTTCTGCAAGTAGGAGTCTTGATACTTCCCAAATGCAACAATTTACCATAAAGCAAACAAGTACATAATTGTATAACCCTTGTTAGCCCTGAAGTCGAATGGAGCTGGGTTAAAGCAGTGTTAAATCACAGCTTAACTCTTAGCTGACTGCAAGTGTTAAGCCTGTTCTCATAAGATGCTTAATAACGCTTCATGAGAAAGGAGCCAGCTCACACCCTTCAAAGGTTATTGTGCCCAGGTGTGGCTTTCAGGGCCTAACTTACAAAAAACAAATGCTGCTGTAGCTATACCAGTGATTGCTCCTCAGAGCTGCCATTCATAGCAGTCAAAAACAAACAATAAAAAGGCCAACATGGCTTAAATCTTCTTTAAAAATGAGTGTCTTACGTGTTTGGAAGGATACAGATACTTTGAGTCACCCTACATCTGCAGTAAGTTTTGCAAACTTGAATTTGTTAATTACAAAACATACAAAAAAACAACAACAACTAACCAAGCAAAAAAAAAAGCAGGTTTAGAAATTATTGTTCCCACCTGGCACTTTTTCTCTTAAGATTGACTCATAGAGATGAACAAACACCTCAGCACCACATTCACAGAGACACTTTATGTGCTGGTTTATGTGACAGCTCCTTAAAAGATTATTGGCCACAGCAACCCAGTCTGTTAAGAAATAAAACAGAATGTCAGAATTGAAAGACAGAGGAATAAAGTCAGTGACTGATTAAACCCATTTAAGTGCCTTTGACTATAAATGGTGAATCCCACTCGTGCTAATCCCTGCCATCAAACTGCTGGCCATGCTGGGTGCTTTCTGCTCTGTGCCTGTTCAGGTGGAAGTGCGGGCAGGGGGTCAGGAATGACACACACCGGGATCCTCACACATGGCACTGGAGGAGCACAGGCTGGGCAGTTGCTTTCTTCCACGTGTTGGAAAGTAAACTTTGGTCACACAGCCAGGAATTCCAGACCACGAAGGACTTAAAAATTTGTAACTTATCAAGAAGCAGAAGTTACATTTTAAATCAAGAGGTTTTCTCTCAGAAACCCAGTTTCTCCAGTACTCCCATGCAGTAACTGCACTGCTAATAGAACTGTTCTTCATGCTGAAATACAGGACTGCTGTTAACAGTTGGCTGTGTAGGGATGACACTAACTCGCAGCTGGCCCCACTGACTTCGCTACCTGCAGCACACCGAGGTGTGTGCACCACAGCCGGCCTGGTGTTCCCAGCTCTGGGTCCTGGATGACGTTTTGAAGCGCGTGTCCTCTCGTCTCGTCACCCAATTCAAACAGCGGCTTCAAAACGCACAAGTTCTTATCTCGCTCATCTCCTAAGGTTGGATTTTCACCCCCTACGTGTGACTCTTACAAGTAAAGCAGGTTTATTTCGTCAAGGACTTTTTAAATTGCCCCCCCCCTCCCTCCCCAGTACCTCTCCGCGCCGCGCGCTCCATGGCCCAACGGCCGCGCCCCGCCC